CTCATCTTGCCGTAGTTATTTTCGAGCGTCATGGGAGATCTCGCAATCACTAGTTTGTTGGCTCTGCGCTGCCGTAGCGCAAAGATGTCTGCCTCCATGGCTGCGAGACCCGCTCCTATGTAATTATAAATAACGAATTCTAAGGCAACGCAACTATTAAGGTTAAGAGGCTGAGCTCATAGATGATGATAAATAACATAGTTATGTATAATATATTACATTTCTGACTGTATATCCCTGTAATTATTACACACTGTAGCTTTAACTCAAAGGAAATAATGTTACAGTGTGATATAAAGAGATGGGTGGCGCAGTCAAGTGCCTAAACTTGCAAGGCACTCACAAGTTAAGGTTGATACGCAGAAACTAGATCTTCTCCATGTGTGTCGCAGTGCATGCAACTGTGCCCCCACCCCAGTGCACCTCTCCAAAACTGTAGGTGATCGCAGACAGTGCTGCAGACAGGAGGCCTCTGATTGGTCACATCTACATCCTCTCTACAATATGCTTATTTCCTGTTTGGTTCCTTACCGGCTTGTTTTGTTTGTATGACCGCCATTGTGGAAAACGACTTGTGAAGACGGACCAGCTAGAAGAGTGAGGTGCATGAGAATGCTGGGACCCTTTTTCCACCTGGATCCCCGCTCTTTTTCACCCTCATGTCCCTCCATTGTCGCACAAACTTGCCCCCACTTTAGGGCTGCAACTAACGATTATTTTAAAAATCGATAAATCGGACGATTATTTTTTCGATTAATCGATTAATCGATGAATCGGACACAAAATATTTTTTTATATTAACCTCTTTATTCCAAAATAAACATTTTAGACAGAACAAACAAGCACACAAGTACAGGTTGCTCATTAACTGTACTGGTGCAATATGAAAAATAAATGTTTGTGTAAAAACTACGCAAACTTACATGAGAAATGTAGCTGTACATCCACAAAATATAGGCTACTTTGTTTCATAAAGCACAAAAAAAGACATTTTTGTTTTTTAAAGCCCCTAAGGGGTTCAAACAATAGGCCCCCCCATTTCAACAAATGAGTTTTTTTTAGACTAGAAGAGTTCTGCCTTTTAAGACAGGAAAGTATAGCAGTTAAAGTTGCTGCTTGAGAAAATACTTAACCATAGAGATAAAAATAGCCCTGTGATTCAAATTATAAATTGTATTTGGAATAAAAATGAGAGAACTAGGGGTGGTAAAAAAACACATCCTCCAAAGACAGATATTTACATGGGAATGTGGCAGATAATTAATTGACATATTACTGATCTTGCTGGATTTTATTCTGCTTTACTTCCATAAATTGCACGATCTTAACTTTATCTTTGCCAGAAGATTTAAACTTTAAAAGCCTTGCCCTCATAATTTGCAAGTTAATTTATTTATAAAGTAAATATAAACGCTGCTTAAGCTAATTCAAATGAAATTAAAAGTAAAATAAGTAGCCAACCTTATCACTGTCTGTAACCTACTAACACGGTAAGGAAAGCATCAGATGAGCTACCTGAGAAACTAACGTTACGTTTCCCCACTTTAAAACCAAACAAACATGGTGGTTCCGTGCCATGTTCATTTGTTTTTACAAAAGTTGCATGTTACGACTTTTTTCACTTTACAAAGCGCAGGCTATTTTAATTATTGTGATCAATTTGCGCCGTCAATCCCGGCGCATGCGCGCTTCATTTGCAGTCTGGACGCTGAGGCTCTGACTGCAGCGCTGAGAGGGACTCCTGCGGGAAAACGCGGTTGGGGTGGGGGAGGCGCCCCACGGCAGAGTAGGAACGATACATGCTTTCACGTAAGAGTCTCTAAAAGCCGCCAGTGACACCGAAAAAAGTCGCCAGATTTGTCGCTAGTTGCTTTTTTGAAAAATAGTCACTGGAGGGGTCTGAAAAGTCGCTGAGTAGGCAACACTGCACCTGCGGCGCTGACTCGCTCTGCCATATTTTTTTTTTTTTTCCTCTTTCAGTCAAGAGGCAGTAATGACGGCGCAGCGGATGACGCAATAATCGCACGACACAACTAATCGATGATGAAATTCGTTGCCAACGCTTTTAAAAGTCGATTTTTATCGATTTTATCGATTCGTTGTTGCAGCCCTACCCCACTTCCTCACCGCCTCGGCCGTATCTAGACCCACAGCTAATTCTTGATTGTCTGTTGTGGCGTGGAATAACCTAGCACAGACCACGCTTCAATATCGGGCATAAATCAAACATATCTTCATCATAACTGAAACAAGCTAACTGCGACACACTGCTGCAGGAGGATAACCAGCCCTTAACAGTTACTATAGTGATGGTCTGTTATTAGGTTTTATTAATGAGTATTAATTAGAACAAAGATCTCTTAATGTCGACTGCTCTTAGTCTCGTTAACAAAAATCATTTTTTATTTTCGTCATATTTTTGTTTTCTGGAAACATTTTTGTGTATCATTGTCACGGGAAAAACGGGAGTAAATGAAATATTTTTATCATCATCCTGGTTGACGAAATTAACACTGCTGAGAACCAATTCATTCAAGTTAGAAGAAGAACATAAAGACTTACAGAAGTGAAGGCCAGCAGCTCTTCCTCTGTTAGTTTGTGAACAGGGTTGTTCTTCTGGAAGTCGGTGCTGAAAAAAAAACAGAACAGATCAAGACACACTTCTATAGACCTGCTGCTATAGAAAGAAGAGAAAAGAAATCAGAGTATAAACAAGCCTCTGACAGTTTTACCCAGTGAGTTACTGGTTAGGTCAGGGTTATGTGTGAAAACAGAAGTGATTTACTGGGTCCAGACCTGGAGTCACACTGGCTAATTAACCAGAGCTACTCCGTGACCTTACTGCTTAAAGCACACATTTCCCTGTCCATGCAAAGTGTGACGTGCTGCCTAACAATCCTGACTCCTGCTACATGCTGTAGACCTCTGCAACAACAAATGACCGCACCGCGGTTATATATGACAAGATAACAGCTGTTCTTTAACACCAGAGTGAGCTGGGCAAAATTTCTAATTACTGATAAACTCAAAAGTCTTTTTTTGTTACCCATTAAGCCAATATAGCTATGGGAATAGATATCCAAATACAACACAGATAGAAAGGGAGGTGAGAAAGAATGAGAGGATAACAACTATGAGAAGGGAGAGAGACATAGAAAGTCAAGAGTTCGTGATGGGAGAGAGAATAAAACAGCTAAAATAGAACCAGAAGATCTAGAGTAACTTCTAGAATCTGCTTCCACAACTGGATGAGACAAGAGGAACAGAAAAAAGAACAGCAAAAGAAGACAACAGACAACCAACGTAAACATTAACAAAAAGTTTCCAGAGGAGCAGGTATCCCTTAGCTGTCCGTGTGTGGAAGGAAAACCTGATGAGGGGGTGGAAACCATATTATTCAGGGTGGGATATATCTGTAGCTACAGCAGTATTTAGAATCAGTGTGAATCCATGAACATCTGCAACCAAACTGTGATATGTATGCATGGGCATTACGGTGTATAAAGGATTTACAAAGCTTCTTCGGAAGGAAAGTATGATCAATAGCAGGTGTGGGCGGCCCCAGACTCACCCTACAGGGCCCAGACCAATGAAGAGGCGATCCTGGCCCCAGATACCCAGAGGAACCCCAGATCATTGGGACACAATGAGGACAGACAGAGGGATGGCTGCACCCACCTCAGAAGGACAGACGAAAGCACCCAGATCCCGACCCATGATGGGCACAAACCCCACAGGGGCCCAGTCCCTGAATGGAGTGACCGGAGATACCATAATGCCTAGGACGCTAGGGGCCATAGCAGCAAGCCCATGAGCTCCACCAGCGGCAGGTCACACTCAAGCCAGACCCGGATGAGAGCCCAGGGATCCGAAAACAATCCCTGCAATGCACACGTACAAAGACATCAAACCATAGATGTCCAGAAATTAAGTTAGGTGCAATAAGGTGGAATGGCACATGAAGAAAAGGAGGTGGGAAAAGTAATTTAAAGCCAAGAAAGCAGCAAAATCTCTCAGTGATTAGAAAGCAATCCTGCAAATTAATATCAGCTTCTTCAGTCCCGAATGATGGCCTCTAAAAAGGTTTCTCTGGCACCACATCTCATGATGGGTAAAAGTAAAGAGCTTTCTCAAGACCTTCACCATCTTAAAGATAGCATCGGTTCCAGAAGGATTTCTAAACTTCTGAGCAATGTTAGGGCCACAACCTGGAAGTGGAAAGAACATCATTCCACCACAAACGGAACTACACCAGGTGCACCTCACAAGATTTCTGACAGAGGAGTGAAGAGAATGATCAGAACAAATGTCCAAGAGCCAAAGACCACTAGTGGAGAGCTTCAAAAAGACCTGGATTTAGCAGGTACAATTTTTTTTAAAGTGAACAGTTATGCACTCAGACGCCCTGGCCTGTATGCTTGCTCACCACGCAAGACTCCACTGCTGAAGGTAAAGCATGTTGGAGCTAACCCTTGTTGAGGAAGAGCATGAGTTCTTTACCGAGCTGAATGCGCACTTTCATCTGGTTTGGTCTGCCGCGGTTTCAGTAGACTCGTGAACGCGCTTTTAGGAAATCCTATACACTACTGTTTAGGCTCTAAAACGTTCTAAATGACTTTGTTTCGAGTAAATTCTGGATGCTACCCACTCAGGACACTTGGAATACATTGGGCGAGCAGTATGGGGGAATATTGACACGTTTTTTGTGGACTTTTATGGACCTTTCTGTCTCGGGCGCCATAGACCTCCATTATTTGAATGTCAGCAGACAGCAAGAAGCCTCCCAGATCTCCAGATGCATTTGAGATATCAAAAAAGTACTCCAGAGTGTTGTTCAGCATGGGGGTGAGTAGAAAATGAAGGCTAATCATGTTTTGGGTGTACTATTCCTTTAAGGGGTTAAAGTGTTTGTTCCAAAAGAAATATCTTCTCAGGATAGAATCGGGAAAGGAAAGCCCGATGTTGTCTGTACCATTGCTTTCTTAATGACCCCCAGGAACAGGCGCAGCGACTGCATCCTCCCAGTGGGGGCAGCAAGCAGCTTTATCTGGAGACGGGTGATGTAGACAGTCATTGCCATTCTAGAAATTATCTTCCTGTTACTGTTTCCATGGCAACTTCTAACAGATAGCTGTGATCATGTAAATGCATGAGCATTCACCTTCACTTCACCTTCACTTTGGTTAGAAGCTGAGCTGCTGCATCTCCAGCAGAATGATAAACAGGAGGATCAATCAGACTGAAGAAGACACTCCATGTTCTCAAGGCTTCCAGCAGTAATTTGAAGAAGAAAAAAAGGAATAAACTTGATGAGTGGCTGTTTGGAGGACTCCAGAAGTACAATCTCCTGCGGTCTGACATTACCTTGGAGCAACATTCAGGTGTGCAGATAGGGCTTTAAACAGAGCCAAAGCTCATCCATCATCTCCCTGCCATCTCTCTGACTGCTGCGCCGCCCTTCGTTTGACCCATCCGGCCTCCACAGCGCTGTGGAAATTCATCACGCTGATAATAAACTCCCCCTCTGCTGTTCATCCTGTTCCTGGATGGAAACGGCCTCATAAACACATCCTGGTCAGGGACCAATTACACTCTGAGATCCATTGAAAGCAGGCGCCGGATTTTCAGCTCCCTGCTGTCATCACAAATACAGACTATGACATCAGTTCTACTGAATTGTGAATGGTTCAGACCGTTTATTGCAAAAACTGAAAATTTTGCATTTAGGATGCAGAAACAAATTGACTGAACACATTTTTGAAGATCTTCTTAATTCATACGCCATTAACTGACTCAATTATTTCTGGCCTTTTACTCTTTGTTTTTGTTCAGTTTGTTAATAACAGTGTTTATACTAGCCTGGTAATCCAGACTAAATGGGAGATGAAAGCCGTTATTTAGTCTGGTCCCGATCAATGAGACATTGGAAGACTGTTGATGAGAACAACCCGTTATTTTTCAAACCATGTCTGTGCCTATTGGCCAACGCTCTGACCAATGAGCGCCACTGACTGTGACGTAGGAAGTACGACAGGAAGCTGGTGGGGGAGTGTAAACAAAAAGCCTGTCTGTAAAATGGCGAATACTTTCTTAAAAATGAATGAGCGTAGAGCCTCTTCCTGCTCACGTTTCAAGGAAAACCCCAAGACTAATACTTCCAAAAGTGATTCCAAAGCTGAGTCAAAAATCGCCATCAGAGCCAGCGGTCCTTCTCACACGACTATGCCGGGAGAGGGCCACTGCAGACGGGTTGCGGTTGGACCACTTGCAGAAAAAAATTATTTTGGCCGCTGGCGGGTGGGACTAGTTTATTAGCTAGGCTTATACAGGAATTTTATGCTTTTTAATGCTCCTAAAAATAATTTTAATGCCATCATGAAATATCCATGGCTCTCATTTATTTATATATATATATAAATGTATATCTATCGATCTATCTATCTATCTATCTATATATATATATCTATATATATATATATCTATATATATATATATATATATATATATACATACACACACATATACAGGGCAAAATCCTTTGTCATCTTTTTCTGCACCTTCAGATGACTCCAGAAATGGTTGATTGTCTCCATCCCTCCATGAGGAGGATGGAGACAATCAACCATTTCTGGAGTCATCTGAAGGTGCAGAGCAAAGTCTGAATCACGCTCTGGAATATCCAAAGGTTCCCAAAGTTAGTTTAAATCATTTTATTATTAAAAAACAAGGTTAAAGTTAACAGACCTTATTTTACCATCAAAGCGTAACCATGCTGCATGACTCCGTGTGGCTGTGTCCAATAAAATGTTGGATCACAGGGAGCAGAATAGAAATGGAAATATGCTAATATCAATAACTGATAAAGCTAAAAGTTGCTGTAAAATGCTCTGACAGTCCCAGGGCTCACGGTTTATATTCCCTCTGATTGAATGGAGGCCAAATTGTTGTGGAACAGCCAGAGGGGCAGGTCATGGTGACTGCAGCCAGAATCCGTAAAATGTTTGAAACAGACAAGCTGCAAAGGGCCATGAGGAATGGGGGGAGAACACCTACCAGACACCCAGGATGAGGGCCTGCTCCTCAGCACTCAGGTCAGGCAGCTGGTACTGATCCGGCTCAGCCAGACTGATCTGATCCAACACCGTGTCATCGTCCAGAAGGTAATCCTGAACAAAAACAAAAACAACCTTCACTCACAGGACTCTGGTGAAAAAGCATTCATGTTGAAAAAACAAGAATATTTTATTAATTTCCAGACTGTTTGTTTCTAAGAGAAATCAGGATCAGAGCGGTTTAGATCAATACAGCCTAAAGTCTCAGTTATTATATTAAGGGCTGGATGATCAGGCTTCAATTAGAATAAATAATCTCGTTTATATGAATGAAAAGCAGGACGCCTCATCACCAATTCAAAAGATCAGGGTTAGGGTTAACTAATCCTGGAAAGACGGTCTTGAAGAAACGATGAGTCTGGCTGCTACCACACCGATGCTCCACAATCCAATCTATTATACCCAACTCTGTCCTAACCATCCATCAATGATCCCTCTATAGAACCTGTTATCATGGAACATTTTCATTCTGAATACTGACCAGTCCACAGTAAATCACTTAAGACTAATATTCGATCTTATTAGACTAAAAATGCTTATATCTCCATATATCTAGCTATTCCACTGGGTGTCAAATATAAGGGATTAGGTTATTGTGCAGGGTATCAAACAGTAGATTGTACATTATACATTGCTCAAGTTATTGCTGTAGTAGTGCAGTGGGGGCTGGTCAATAGAGGGCGCTATGGTTCCACTCCACCCACCCAATGACCCTGAGCTTAAAAAAATAAATATTTTTAATAATTTAGTTTAAGATTAATATTTTAAATCAATATCTATTTTTTAGATGTGCAAGTTAAATATTTAATCTTTAACGGCAAGTAAAGCATCATTCCATTTAAATCGGATTGGTGACGTATTTCCGCCCTTGGACGCAAAAATCTGTGTAGTAGCTCCTCTGCCATACAAACGTATAGGACAGCAGGAAGTGTCTTTGCTCACCGCCTCCCAACAAAAAGCAGATGTTTTGTGAGTGATTGACAGGTCGAGTCACAGGAGTTGGAGACGCATCAGAGAGAGAGAGAAATGGCACAAGAAACGTCCTTTTCCAGGACCTGGTTTAGCTCCAAGGCTTGGCTAACTGCATGCTTTATTCTGCTTTCCCTGCCTCCTTTTTCAAACATCAGGATCTGACCCAGCATGGATAAAGACAGGAAGGACTGATTTAAAGCACTTTTTAGAAAAGACAAAGAAGAATGAACAATCTGGGATTCACATGGAAAATAATAGAATATAGCAGAGGTCTTCAACGTTTTCCAGGCCAAGGACCCCCAAACTGATGGCGAGATGCAGCGGGGACCCCCTAATTATATATATTGCAGGAAATTGTCATATATCAAACTGGTCCTATAGTCACTCTATCACAGATGGAGTCATGTAACGAAAGTAATTTCTCCCTGGGATTATTAAAGTATCTCTGATTCTGATTCCTGGTTGATGGGACAGGTGTTGTGAAAGAAACGGTGCCCAGCTTGAAAGAGCTCCTGTGTGTCGCTGAATGTGTGCATTGATGACTGAAAGACATCTTCTGCCTTCATTTATCTGTTTACTACAGTCTGTTGAATTCATGTTAATGTGGATTTAAAGACATTTCAGTTAGTGGAAAAAATGCAGAGGGGAATATAAAAAAAAAGTCTAATCAATCAAAACTTTTGCGACCCCCATGCAGTACGGATCTCTGACCTGAGGAGGAATATAGTGCATTTTTTCTCGATCTTGGTTATTTGCACAGTTGCTCTTGAATAAACACATTCTCAGAAAATAAATAGTTTTTATATATAAAACAAAATATAAAGCTAACCAATAGCTTCTCCGTTATTAAACTGGTATAGGGATACACGATATTGGGATTTTGTCCGATATCCGATATGCCGATATTTTAAAACTCATGTAGCCGATAACCGATACCGATGTTAAAGCTGGACAAAAATAAGTAGTCATTGAAAACAGCAGTTTTATTATCCATTTCTGACACTTTGGAAAATAATATACTGAAATATATTTTCATATGCTGATATCAAATTGATTTTTAAAAACGCGGTGTCGATCTATTTTACTTTCAAAATCTCATGAAATTTCATCATTCTGTTACAAACTCTCGTGATATTTTGCAAATTCTTGTGAGATTTTGTTAGTAAAATAGATCGATACCGCGTCAATATATCAACATATAAAAATATGGCAAAATTTCGTGATTTTCGGGGGATTTCGTAGCATAACGATGACATATAGCAATATTTCATTAGTAAAAGAGATTGATACGGTGTTTTTAAGTGGCAATATATCAGCATATGAAGATATTGTGATATTTTAATGTATCAATATTTTTTCCCTCGTCTTTAGAAGTTTTTAAGTCTGTAAAAAAGAAGTGTTTGAGGAAGTAGAAGAAATAACGGGTTAAATAATCGGTGGGGTGGCCGATGTCCGATATTCAGTTTTAAGGCCGATACAGGCCGATACCGATAGGTGGCCGATTATATCGTGCATCCCTAAACTGGTACATTATTTTTTTAAGTGTGTGACATCATATTGGACCATAAGAAACACAGATTTACCTTCACAAAGCCTCAGAAGAGCAACATTTATGTACAAAAACTAAACCTATACATGAAAATATGTTTTGTTTTTAGAAAGTGTTTCTATAATGTTTTTTGTTGTTGGTATTCATAGAAATATACTGGTGTGATAACTTAGTATTTCTTTAATTGGTTTTTGGTATACGCCTATTTTGAATTTATAGCCCCTCCTGGAGAAAACTCCACCAGCCGCCACTGTTGTATTGTTACATTGTAGAGTGTGGTTGCAGCAGGGATGAATGACCTGCGGTAAAATTTCACAGGACTGGATGGAAACACAGCTAATGATTAGCTGCCCTGTATATCAGGGAGCTGAGACGGTGGGTGTTTAATCTGCAGTGACAGTGACTGCAGTTTTATAACAACTGTATAAGGATGAGTGGAAAACACTACAGAGAGGCAACAAATCCATGTTGAAACGTAATGAATCACTAGACAAGATTTTACTAATAGTGTTTAAACCAAATTTCAGAAAAGGTTTGAAAATAACAGAAATCAGGTATGATCCAAAAGAAACCGAGAACCTAAAAAAAAAAAAAAAAGGAACTTTATATGGAAGTAAATCTGTGTCACCTGGACTTGAATTAAAAATGCCACTGAAATTTAAATGTTGTATGTTTGTACTTACTGTTTCAGTGTTAAAATATATTCAGAACACATTTTTTACCTAAAAAAAAATTCATCGTCATTATTTCTACACAGTTGAAATTTAATTTATTTTCTCTTCTAGCTAAAAATTCACATTACTATTTCAAAGTGATTTCATTTTCAATACTTATTTTTCAGTTAAATTTCTCAGTGTTAAAAAAATCTGCATATAAAAAAATTCAACCTTTCAAAATTCAAACTCAATATTTTCAGCCTCCTGAGATTCAACTGGCTCTATTTCACCGTCTTAAATTCGGCATCTAAATTCAGTGTAAAAAGGGAAGGGTTACTTCAGGTCACAGACATTAGCAATGGATTGTGGCGTCC